TTAAAACAAAAAAAAAAAAAAAAAATTAAGAGAAATACAAAGAAAATTAATCAGACAGCAAATATTTTAAAAAAAAAACTTGTTAAGATGCAAAAAAGACAWYTTTCTGGACCGGAAACTTACTACCAAAAAAAAAACCGGAAATAGTAGCCATTTTGTCAACAAACCACGCGCGCAAAGCATAAAAAAAAAAAAATGATATCTCCTCTGCTACTTGTCTGCGATTTCATTATGGGAGTGGTGTTAAAAAAAAAAGACACCGAAAAAAAGGAGAAAATATCAAAAGCTTGAGTAAAACCCGCTTAAAAAAAAAAATTAATATTTTTAAAAACATAAACAAATGTTTGATTATTAAATCATGTTAAAAAAAAAAAAATTATAGAAAAAGATATAAAACCGAATTATTACTAAATTTCTCCTTGAATACTTTCAATATCATTCTGTGAATATTTTCCCATCTGATTTCAAGATTCAAGATGACGATCGCATCCTAATCAAAACTAAACACTTGCACCTTTGATTGTTTTACCTTCATTGCCAAAAAAAAAAAACAGTCTTTCCTTCAATATCGGRTCTTTCTCGTTCCATAGCGCTATCCCGAAGCACAGTCGGCATTGCTCGTCGGATATACCCATAATTCCATCCTCGCCCCATCGATAGACACGTGATCTTGCATGATCGTGTGGGAAGTAATCCCAGCTGAAAGATACGTAACACTAGCTGAGGTCTTGCACTGTAACGGAGCTACTTTTAATATCAAAATATTCCATTGACAGAAAAAAAAAAAAGTACGATTTATTAAAGTTTTTTTTGAAAAAATCTTAAAGCAAAATATAAAAAAAAAATATGTTGATACAGTGATTCAGTTATGGAATTTTATTTCAATGAATATTAAAAAAAAAAAAAATTAATCAATAAAAACTTTTGATATAGTGCTTTCTTTTTGAAAGTCAAAAAAAAAAAGACGGGAAGGAAATCGCTGTTTACCGCAATAGTAGCATGCAATAGGTGAAAAAAAAAAAAAAAAGTTAATTTCGTTTTCAATCCTGATGGAATGTATCCTCATCTACTAAAAAAAAAAATTGCTGAGGATTAATAAACTAAAATATCTGTAATGCAGTAAGCAACAAAAGCGAAAGGTCAATGGATCATGATGAAAGATTGCCGTTAACCTATCAGGTTTATTTCAAAAAAAAAAGGGTTTATCGAGTTTCCAAATTTGGCCTTGGCATGGAGAATTTATAAAAAAAAAAAAAATGCAGTATAAATAGGTCATAATTGAAAGGTTATGCAAGTGAAGCTTTCAAAAAAAAAAACATGCAGTCATCCTGAGTTCAATGGTGAAAGTTTGTAACTTTACAGATTAAAAAAAAAAGATAACAGTTTTGTCGAGGTTTTTTAATCCCCGGATTTTTTTCCTTGAGGTCTAGTGGCGAAGACAACGGAATCCTGGACGGTCCTGGACCAAGCCCCTGGACTTGAAAAAAAAAAAGGAAAAACACAAGATCGTCTTCTTGGTATAAAAACACTTTGATAAGATAAAAAAAAAAAGAGCTCAAGGGGTTCCCGGAGGATACTGAGTTTTAACATAATATCAAACAAAAAAAAAACTCGAGTATTGTTTACAAGGGATTGTATTGACATAAAGCAGAATATTGGAAAAAAAAAAGAATAATCCCTGCACAGGAGACTGCGTGTCGCGTCACTCAATGAAACAATAATAACAATAACAAATGCAAGGCGAACTTACCAGTTGCCATCCTCTGAATAATCTTCGCGCACTGTCCCCCATTGTCTTTCAGAAAGATACGGACCCCATGTCTTCCAGCCTGCTTCAAAAAAAAAAAGTCTCTCTGATTCACGGCTTGGATGGTCCCAGATTAATTCACTTTGTGAAAAAAAAAATATCTCTTTGCGWCCACTCATRRTGCTCTTGTGTACAAGGGACGTTTCTAAAAAAAAAATGTYTTTTCCCAATAGTTCTTGCTGGAAAAATGAACGCATATTGTGAATGAAGCCTGTTCTGGTGTGATCCCATAACCTTTGGATGCCGGTGTTTCTTTTTTGTTGAAATCGCTCAAGTTCTTCGAGTTCAGCTAGAAAGCCGAACAACTCCGATCCATACCTCTTTAGATTCTTGGTCTTTTCCTGGTTGTCTTTGGAAGGTTCTTTTACGTGTTTGCCTTCAAGAAAAAAAAAATTGGAGCAAAAACTAAAGGTTGTCATTATCGCATGTTTACTGTTGCAAGAAAAAAAAAACTATTTGTCGCTAAAACAACAAGTTCGTGCATGATTATTGCCTTTCCCCAAAAAAAAAAACTATATATATTCGTGCAATGTTTTGTTGGTAACTTAAATGAGTGTCCGAAAAAAAAAATACTGTCACTGGCAGCCAATCACARTTGATTTGCTGTCAACTACAGGTCAAAAAAAAAACGTGTACAGCGAATGTTGAAGTGGTTGACTAACTGTTGGGGGCCTAATCAAAAAAAAAATGAGATGTATTAGTTTCATTATTCCCTATTATAATAATAATCATTATCTAAAAAAAAAACAATTTTTTTTTCAACATGACATCAATTTTGTCATTATTTGCTATATCAAAAAAAAAAATTCCAAACATTTTTATCTTTTCTACACTATTTTGCGCTATTCAGCAGTTAAAAAAAAAAACTCATTCACGTTTTTTAAGTGAAGTAAAAAAAAAGTAAAATAGATATTAAAAAAAAAAACCTTGAAACGCTCTAATTTTATTGTTTTCTTTTGTGTTTATTTCACTAAAAAAAAAAAATAGTATTTTTTTTTTACTTTCACTTTAGTGTTTGCATGCACTCTATTAAAAAAAAAAATAGCCACAACTCCGTTGGTCGTTTTGGAGAGATCCGTCCGGTGGTCGTTAAAAAAAAAATACTTTTATCATAAATCAATCAATGAAATGTACATGTAGTGTGTGGTGTAAAAAAAAAATGCAATGGCCGGATTAGAAAGAACTCCTTCTTACATAAAAAAAACCTAAAAAAAAAAAATAACATTGTAAGGATTCTTTATGATGGTTTTAGATTTCCCCAATTATTTAAAAAAAAAAAGAACGACGAGGCACATTAATAAAGGTTATTATCATCATTATTATTATTAAAAAAAAAAGGAAATAATTTTATTGGCTGACCTCTGAATAGCACGCTTCAGTGTGCAAAAAAAAAAAAGGATTGCTATGAAATCATAGTAGTAAAAAAGAAATGAAATGAATTGTGCAAAAAAAAAAGTTTTCTAATGTACACTATATTGCACTATTTTGCTATTACTTTTTCACGCTTTTCAGTTTTTGCACTCTTTTTACCGAACTATGGACTATTACAAATATTGCACCCTTGCTCATTATTTGAACTGTGTTCTCTTTTGTATCAGAGTCGCTTTAAGTAAAACCGAAGACAGTCGGCCTCGTGGACTACGATTTGATGTCCTAGCACGCCATGGACTATCAACTCGTACTTTATTCGACTAGTCGTATAATTGCCACTAGCATGGGTATGACATCATCTCTCCCCATAAAAAAAAAAACTCGAGGCTGTCTGTATCTTTTTCTTCTCTCTACGAGGGGGATATAGAAGGTATTTGAATCCTAAAATCCACAAGAAAAATCACCGAAATCGATCTGTTTGTCAAATAAAAAAAAAATTAACGTCATTAGCAATCCCCAAAGCCGTCATTAAAAATGTCCCAACTGAAAAAAAAAACTCAATGAAAAATGGCCGAATCAGCAAATTCA